TCCTCTGCAAAGGGGGAGCGGTGGTGGGGGGTAGGGAGCTGGTCTGGGCCCCAAGGCCAAGTGCCAGCGGTGGCTGCAGCTTTGCCTGGGGCTCACAGTTTGGAGAGTTTGGTTTTGGTTTTTTTTTTTTCCCCCTCTTTTTCTGTGGCATCAGCTGTTCTGCGCTGCCGAGGCCTCTCCTGACACAGGCGATTATCTGATCCTGGCGGTTTTCTTTCTCTCGTCACAAGGCCCGTGTGGGCTGATGGGTCACGTGAGCTGGAAAGCCCCAGACAATCCCTGGCAGGGATGGAGGGCGGGGGGGATGGGCCGCAGCGAAGCAGGCCTTGCAGACATCTGCAGCTCTGGTTACATCAGCTGATTAACTCCTCCGCTTCCTGCTCCGTCTCTACCGTAGCGCGCCGGCCGTGGGGCTGCTCGCTGCGCTGAGTTGTGGTGCCCGCCGGGTGCCAGGAGCAGCCCTACCAGCCTTAACCCTTTGTCGGCTACGAGCTGCCTGATCTGCCCTTGAGATGGGAGGCTTTGCATCCCCGTGACGGCAAAGCGCTGGCCTGTGGCCAGAGCCGCGGCCTCCCTGGGGCCGGCCAGCCTGGCCCATTTGTGGGAACAGGTGGAACAGGATTGTCTTCCCAGTCCAGGAGCTTGTTATGGGGAACATCATCCCCTCCCCGGGCAGGGCGTGTTGTCCTCGTCAGAGTATTGAAGCCTTTGTGTCCTGGCAAGGGTGCCGCAGGGGACGCAGGGCTGCGTGATCCAAGCTGCCACGTCGGTGACAGCCACCTCTGGGAGATCAGGTGGAGGGATCACGCGGGAGAACGGAGCTCTTCCATCTCCAACATCTGATTCTTGGGTGAGGGACGCTGGGCATTTTCCTACGACTGCTGCTCCACGGTGGAGAGCTCCTCGAGGTGGGAATATTTACACTGGGGGTGGGGAGGATGAGTGGACTGACAAGGCAGACCTTTAAGCCAGGATAACTCTGCCCCAGCTGCTGGAGAATTACTCTGAAGAATCAGAGGTAAAATCTTCCCGTGCAAGCTGTGCCACTGTCTGCTCCTATCGGCCTGCTCCTTTGCTAAAGGCGAAGGTGCTGTCATTGCCACCTACTGTGTGAGCTACCCTGGGATAGTTGTGCATCTGTCCATTCCTGATCCTGGTGTCACTTGTAGCAGCCTACAACTTCATATACATGACAGTGGGCACGTCTACACGTGCACTTTAATGCATATTAACTTAATTCTAATGCGCATTAAAGCATCACAAAAAACATGCTCTTTTGCTAATGTGCATTAAGATAAGCTAATATGCATTCTTTTCACCATGGAGGTACTAGATTTAATGCGCATTAATGAACTTGTAGACGCGCCCACTGGGTGGCTTCTCCCTTCTCCCCATTTGCCGTAGTCAGGAGGGCAGCAGGAGCCTGCAAAACGAAGGTGCTAACTTCAGGGAGAAGGGCTGGGCATGGATGGGTTGGGCAAGATGATTTTTTCTCACCCCGTGGAAAGTCAGGCCCTCCCAGCGCAGCGCCCGCTGAGGCATGAAACCTGCCGGAAACCTTCTGTGACTTGATCCGAATTGTAACAAGCAGGCACAAGTAGTTTGAGGACAGGAGGAAGGGCCGAGCTTGTGGTTCAGGAAGCGGGCAGCAACTTGGGATCTGGCTTTGATTTCCCAGCTCTGCCACAGATGTCCTTGGACAAGTCATTTTCCTTCTGTTCCTCGGTTTCCTCACCGGTGTCATCAGGTCAAATACTACCTCGGCTTCACTTGCTCTGGGGAGATGCTCCATTACTGTGGTCATGGGGTTGGACCTCAAGGTACCTTAGCTAGCTTGTGGCCTGTCTTTGTGTGCACGGGGTTGACTTACAGCTGGAGAGACGGCCAAGTCTAAGACTGCTCATTAATGCCAGGCTGTGTCCAGGGATGGATTTGATGCGTCCTTTGTCTCCATCGGGGCACCTGGGTGTCTTTGCCGTGTGCTCCCTTTCCCCTCGGACCGCAGGGCGGTCTCAGAGCCATGTAGCGTGCTCCTGTTCTTTGTTGGTGTGCCTGGATCCCAGGAGACCCTGTTTACAGCCCTTCCAGGAAAACTGGGGCTGTTTATAGCTTCTGGTCGTCATCTTCTGCCAAAGTCTCTTTTTGGAACGAAGGTCCCAAAGGGCAGAAAGTTTGCTTTGGGCTGTCTCCCTGTGAGCCTGCAGCTGAAGCCCCACAGCTCTTGGCACCTTGCACTGAGTTTCCTCTTGCACTTGCTTGTCTTTAGTGTGGACAGCAGACGGGTTGGGATTGTGCGTGCGTGCATACATGCTTTGGAGACTTCAGAGGTAATCTTAAAACCTAGAGGCTTGTGTTTACAAGTGCGATTTGAAGGGTCTGGAGAACAAGATGCAGTAGTTTTCAAGAGGTCCTGAGATGCTGCATCACTCTATGCCTCTAATCTTGAGTTGTGGGAGCCCATCGATGACCTTCAACTAAACGTCTGCTGTTTTGGCCGCGGGAGAATCCCAGTGTTTGGCCAAGAGCTTTGCCCTTCAGATCTGTAGGCACTGAGATCTGGTGCCCTGCACCCTTCAGTGGTTTTTTCCATCTTCCCTTCAGCACAGATGTTCCTTCTGGCTGGTGCAGAGTGGCCTGCTTGGGCCTTGCTTCACTGCTGGCTCAGGTGTAATTATTGTTGTTATGAATATGATTAGTATTATTATGCATTAGGATGGACTTGGCCTTCGGGCAGTCTTGTCCACTGATTGCAGGGTTTGGAGCCGGGTGTAGCGACGGGGAGTGCTGCAACTCCTCTCTGCTGATGTTTCTCATCCACCTGAGGTCTCACCTGCTGGTTCCCGAGGGCTGATCACCCAGGGTGGGGAGAGCTGTGTCCGCCCTGGGCGCAGGCTGTCTGATTTTTAACTTGGCTGGGTTCTCATGCCAACAATAATCGCGAGTCACTGGTGTTTGGGTCGCAACCTCCCAGACATGGGGCTTGAAGCTGGAGATCTTAGTTCGTTAGCATCTGACTAAGCTTTGGTGTCTAAATAGCATGGGGCAGCTGCATTCTGGATTTGACCTTCACTGTTCAGTAGACCCAGCAGCCAGGGCCTGACTCTGAGTAACCTCTGCCCTGTTCTCTTCCTCCGCAGTGTGGCTCAGCAGAGTACATGGCTCCTGAAGTGGTGGAGGCCTTCAACGAGGAGGCTTCCATCTACGATAAGCGTTGTGACCTGTGGAGCCTGGGTGTCATCCTGTACATCATGCTGAGTGGCTACCCGCCCTTTGTGGGCCACTGTGGCACCGACTGCGGCTGGGACCGTGGTGAAGCGTGCCAGACCTGTCAGGTGAGTTGGAGCTGGTCATTGCAGTAGCAGGTCATTGCTTTGCAGGGCTCGCAGTACTCGCCACATCCCTCCAGCTAGACTCCTAGAGAAGTCGGGCTGGAAGGGACCTCCAGAGGTCAGCTAGTCCTTAACCAGGGTAGTGAAATATCCCCCTGTGGCTTCCGCTGGTTGAAGAACCATCTCTCCTAGGTACTAAGTCTCGCTGGCCGCCTAGGGCAGGTTTTGTTGTACCTGTGGCATCTTCATTCCCTACACGCCGATACCTCTCAGCAGGGCTGGGAGGCTGCTGATTCTCTGCATAGCTTCAGATTTCCCAGTCCCCAGGGGAGAGGCCACGTCCTGGGTCTAACCAGACCGAAATAAACACTTGTTTTTTCTAAAAATGAACTTGGATCCCTTCTCTCTTCTCCTCCAGAACATGCTATTTGAGAGTATCCAGGAAGGGAAGTATGAATTTCCTGACAAGGACTGGGCCCACATTTCTTTTGGAGCCAAAGATCTAATTTCCAAGCTGCTGGTTAGAGATGCCAAGAAACGGCTCAGTGCGGCCCAGGTCCTGGAGCATCCTTGGGTGCAAGGGGTGAGTGCTGCCTTTCTCCAGTATCTTGGCTAGGGTGGTTTCTGCAAGAGCCTTATTCGTGCAGAAGGCACAGTTGAGGAATGTCCCAAGAGGTTCCTGTGTGGCTTTTTAAGAGCTCTTGCCTGTCTCCTTCCCCTTCCTTCCCTATGAGCTCTCGGCCTGCTTGACCATCAGCCTCCTGCTCCCCTGAGGGAACAGTGGTCAGCAGTAGAACAAGGTCTCAGGACTCCTGATCCTGGGCTTTACCACGAGATTGTCGCTGTCTCGTAATAAAGAAGTTAGATTGACTGAACCACCCTAAATGATGAAGCTTTGCTAATGCAAGATGCAGATACGTCTTGGGTACTTGACTGGCCCTATTATAAGATCTGAGTGCCTCGTGGTCTTTAACCTATTGATTTTTTTCATAGCACCCTTGTATAGCAGGGCACTGCTATTATTCCTTCTTTGCCAACGGGGACCTGAAATGCAATGAGGCTAAGTGATTTGCCCAAGGCCACATAAGAAACCCATGGCAGAGCAGGGATTTGAATGCTGGTCTCTTCTGACCCAAGCTAATACCCCTATTGCTAGACTAGCAGTTTTCTAGGACAGCCCCACTTCACGGGAGGCAGGATCATGAATCTTGATGTTCCTGTTGCCCACCTGGTGAGGGCACTGGACTCATACCTCTGCTTATGAGACGGGCTTCACTGCCTGGCTCTAAATCTCTATTTCCTCTGATTTTCAGTGCGCGCCGGATAACACCCTTCCGACCCCCATCATCTTACAGAGGTGAGTGCATCTGTCGGCTGCCCTTGCTGAGGTCGGGGCATTATGGAACCACCTCCCTTGGTTCTGTTCAGCTCTTCTGTGCATGCAGGAGACCAGGCAGCTGTGCAGTCACTGTTGCAATAGCAGCGTAGCACTTCAAGGCATGTTTGGTGACCTCTGCCATTTGGCTGAGAGAGACTAGCAGGGCTTTGGTCTTGCCCAGGCTTGCTCTTGTAAGGCGCTGCATTCCTTGGAGAGGGCTGTGTGGCTATCTTACAGTTGCTAGCCTCTGCTGGGCTGATGTGGGGGTCCTATATGTGGGAATCCCAGGTCCCAGCCAGGCACAGGGCTGCAGGAGAGCAAGACACTGGGCTGGTTTGGAGACTGACTCAGGGCAATCAAGGAGACAGACCTGGGTTGGGGTAGCAGCTGGCTGCGGATGCTGACGGGGGCACCGATCAGTTCTCCAGCCCCCTGTGCTCCATGAGCTTGGCAGTAAAGCTTGCACACCACGCACCCGACTCTGTGCCCCGGTTCAAGGAGCTGAAGGGAACCAGAGTCCTTTTGTAGAGAAACAATAGCACGAGAACAGATCCTGTCTAAAACACCCCAGAGCCCAGCACCTGCTTTGTCCCCGGCAGCTGGGACACGGCTGGGAGCACAGACATCTGCAGCCCATCGCTGACCTCGCCCTGACCGCCGCGCCTCCCCACTGTCTCCCCTCCAGGAACAGCAGTGCCAAAGAGCTCACCTCCTTCGCTGCCGAGGCCATTGCTGTCAACCGCCAGCTGATGCAGCATGACGAGGACGAGGAGAAGGAGGAGGCCCGACCAATCATCATCAAAGCTACCTCATGTTCGATGCAGCTGTCTCCCCCTTCGGAGTCCAAGCTGGCCAAACGGAGGCAGAAGAGCAGCATGACTAAAGGGGTGGCTGCAAACCAGCACCTTGTCGCTCCCTTGGTCCTGGTGGGTGACCAAGCGTGATCACCTGCCATCGCTGCTCCCTGCTCTCTGTATATACGTATGTGCTGTATCTGTATGTCTCTTTTTTTTTTTCTTTTTTTTTTTTTTTTTTTTTGAAATGCTGTTGCTAGCTAGCAACAAGATCAGGACTCTCTCCTATTGGCTGGTTTCCAAGGTTACGCTGATCTTGTAAATCTGTTTTGGGGTTTTTGTTCTTTTTTTTTTTTTTTTTTTATAAACAAAAAAAGGTATTAAGTCAAGCGTGAGGTTCCTTCACCCAGGGCACATTCAAGGACATTGAACAGATGATAGCTGAATTTTTTCTCTCTCTCTCAACTCTTGATTTCTCCTTTTCTTTTTATTTCTTTTTGTTCTACACCAAAGGACTATTTGTATATGCGGCTGCTTTTACAACTTCAGCTCATTTCATACTGTGAAAAAAAGACAAAAAAAAAAAAAAAAAAGACCCTTGGTCATATTTTCAACAGCAACAGGAAAAAACAAAAGTAGCATTTTAACCTTTATTTTCCTACTTTGCTGCAGGTTTCTCCCTGGATTTGGACTTAGTAGATTCAACCATGGGTAGCTCTGTCTTGACTTTTTTTTTTTTTTTTTTTTTTTTAAACACAAATTCATTCCAAAGCTGAATTGGACTGATCTTCAATAGCCTAACGAGAGGATTCTCCATGCATCTTAGCCTAACGAGAGGATTCTCCATGCATCTGGCCTCTCAAAGGAGGGGTAGGGAAAAGGATAGTCTTGAATTCAAGAGCATATTTCCCCTGCCCCTGCCCGTGCTGTGTTGACTCCAAAACACAATGAAACATTGCAGTATTTCTCTTGTTTTAAGGGAGGAAGTCTGACAAACCATCATTTCGGAATTAGCTGGTGTAGATAGTCTCTGCTTGGCATTGCATGGTGGTTCCCTGTCCTTGGAAGGGGATGTGATGGCAAAGGCATGTTTTGTGGTCCTGGGGATGAAGTACCCTTGGCTCTGGCTGAAGTACTCAGGAGCTGGGGGTGCTCAGCATTGTACAGGATTGGGCCTGAACTTTGGAGAAGAGCGTTGTGCTGGCAGATGGATTTGTGACTCAAAGGGAGCAGAGACCTGTTCTGCCAAGTGTGACTTTTTTCTCTCTCTGCTTGGATTTCAGCTCTGCTCCCAAGTAAGCTATTAAACCACTTTTTTAGTTTTTTTTTTTGTTTTTTTTTTTTAAATTTAAACGGCCTAGTTGCTCATTGCAAAAGCAAATCTTGCTTGATTTGGGCATTTAGAAATGTCTTCCTCTGCTCCCCTTGTTCCTGCCCTGTCTTCTAGGCTTGGGGTGGAAGCTGAGCTGTACCTGCCAGATATTTCCTGGGAGTTAGATGATTTGCCAGGTTACAGCTCAAAAGGGGAAAGAAATCCGAATCTCTCCCAGGCTTCTGAAATGTTAATGTTCAGAGTTCGGAAGTAACTGCATTTTGGATCTGACTCTGCACCACTGACCTCCACAGAGGCTTTGCCTTGGACTTTGGTGGGAGCAGGACTCAGCCTTATCTGAGGGGTGGGAGTGCACATGTGTTTGTGTGTGTGTGTGTTTGTGCAGAAGGTGATGGTGATGGATCTCCAGGAGATATTCACTTCCTTTGGAGAAATCACTAAAAATGGCTGGACTCACTGTAGTGGCAGGATGGGCTCCAGGCTCCTGATTATTTTATTTTTAATGCAAGTGTGGCTGGCAAAACCCCTTTCTTTGTAATATGGTGCTTTTCTAAAAAGAAAAAATGTGCTTGCTTTCCATAAGTGCTCCAGGGCAGTGAACTGACTCTTCAGCAGTAGGATCTGAAATGGAAATCTGAGTTTGAGGTGCTTCTGCTTCTTGGGAAGGTAGAAGTGAATATAAAGAGATGTTTCAGCATGGGCAGTGTTGCTGATGGGGATGCCATGCCTTGGTTGATCTTGCCAAGGTTTTCCCTTCACAGGGGAGGAGGTGTGTATTGAGGTGTGATCACAATTCAGGTCTTAAGCAGGCATAGAAATCTGTCCAGGACTTGGCTGAAACAACTGAATGGAGAGGATTCCCTTGGAGAGGTGGATTCATGCAGTCATGTTTCACCAATATGGTGGGCATGATGGGCAAGTGTGTGCCCATGTGCTAAAGCAGGTTCAGACTCTGGCCTCGAGGTACCGTGTACTAGCAGGAGGAGGAATGCAACACTAATACCTGAAGGCTGGAGTGGCAGGGGAGAACGGACTCAGGAAAGGCTCTGGGTGTGTGGACGTTGAGTTTTTGGGTGGAGGAACCTAAAAAGAAACAGGTCAGGCCAGTGGATCTCCCTCTGAGGTCTGAAGTGGAGTCAGGGAGGAGGGTATCGGGGCTCTAATTCACCACTCCATCTGCAGGCTGCTTTTGGTCTTTGGGTACGGGGAGGAAAAAGTTCCTGTAAAAACAGGACTTCCCAGCTGATCGGCCTGGGCTTGGGAAAAGGCTGCTGGTCACGACAGGGGCCCTAGGTGAGATGCAGAAACCATCCTCTCATTGAAATATCTTGTGCTTCCATTTATTGTGAGGTCTCAGTCCACTGCCCTGGTTCAGGCCAGCTTGGGGCTCCTTCCCTTCACTTGCTTTCTTCTTCTTGAGTATGGACCTCCTCTTCCAGAAGCATTGCCACCAGAAAGGGCTTGGTGGAGGATGCGTGTGGCTTGGTGGAGGCCGCGTGCGCGCCCAGCACTTCGAATCGAAGCTGCAAAGCATTGGGCCTGGCTCGCCTCCTATTGACACCAGCACAAATGGGGAGTAACACCACTGGGTTCAACCCGTCTGCTATCGGAGTGAGTAAAATGAGTGGCTTCTTTCTGATCTCCTCCTCCCAACCCTGCATCTCCTTCTGGAGCAAGGATTCTGGCCTCCAAATTCAAGCTGACTGTGGGGAAGATGCGCCCCTGTTAATCAGTGGTCTCCCCACCTTTTTTTTTCTTCCCTCCCTTCAAAACTGGATGCTTCAATCTTTATACGTTAAAAGCAGCCATAAGCTTGTATCATGGGCACAGCTGGAAGTTACTGGAGCCTTTGCTTTGAGTAGAGCCCAGCCCTTCTCCCCCGAATTCTCAAGTCAAGCTCAATACTTTCTCTGAGAAGGAAGTCCTGTGTTTTTGAAGACTGCTGACAGCAATACTATGCAATACATGTTTTGTTCATTTAGGAGGGTGATTGTGAGTAATGCAGGGATAAAGTAATCCTTGTGCTTTTGGATCTGGATGATGCTTTGGTGAGGGAGGGGAATGTGAATCGTGACCCCTGCTGATCTTTTCGGCACAAGCAGTTTCATTTTGTCGGGAAGTGAAACATCCAGCTCCAAAACCAACACCTCTTCTCACTTGGGATTTCCAGCACGTGAGCTCTCTCGCGGGTGCCTGATTCACCTGCTTCTAGGACTCTGGGGTGACAAAGGGATTTGGGGGAGAGCTGCATTGGAAGCAAGGGGGGGGTGTCCCACACCTCAAAGCAGGCTGCAGTACTCCGAAACCCTCTTCAACAATCCATCTTGATTGTATGTTGTTACTTTTTAGAGCTTATTTTTGTTTTTATCAGTTGTAGATAATTCCTTGTTGTCTTATATTAAGAAATACTTGAATGATGTACAGTATGTGATGCCTTGAGCTGGTATTGTGAAAGCTATTGTAATGCTGCAGGTTGCAGCTTTTTTTAAGGATCTTGGGAAGGGGATTATTGGGTTTTCCAGGATTTTTGTTGGCAAACAAAAGTTTTCCCCAGTTCCCACTTGTGAGACTTCTTCTTTCTTCCTTTTTTTGTTTTAATTGGCACTCCTGAAAGGGGCCTCCAAAGGAAAGTGTACTGGGTTGGTTTTCTTTTGCTGCTCTTGAAGGGGAATGAAGCCTCAGTGCTGCTGTAAGAAAGATCAGGGATGTCAAGCCTGGTTTTCCTTTCATTTTCTTGCCAGAGGGTTTGTTGAAGATCTCGACCTATTCTCGGTTGATCCCATTGAGGTCATCAGACTTCTAGCAGTTGACAGCTTTTGAGGATCCATGTCATATGAGCTTTGCTTTCTCTTAAGCGGGGAAGATTTTCTATGTCCTGGATAGCCAAAAGTCGCCTTCTGCTATTCAGCACAAATTTGGTACTTAACTCCTTTTTTATAGATACAACAGACCCATTTTTTGGCTCGCTGGAGACAGTGTCTAGCAGCTTGTCCAGCTGTTTATTTTAACCCCACACCTGTTGAGCTGAGTGTTTTTAAATTTAAAAATCAATCCAAATCGGATCTGCTGACAGTTCCTCTTGCCCGGCACATCTTCCCATTCTCATTAAACTAGGGGACTGTGGCATCGACACCTACACAGTCAAATGGGTCGCTAACTGGCTGGAGGGCCGCACCCAGAGAGTGGTGGTGCACAGGTCATTTTTGACCTGGAGGGATGTGGGCAGTGGGGTCCCCCCAGGGCTCGGTCCTCGGACCCGTGCTGTTCAACATCTTCATCAGTGACTTGGATGAGGGGGTAAAAAGCACCCTGTTCAAACTTGCTGATGGCACTAAGATGTGGGGGGATGTGGGCACGCTAGAAGGGAGGAAGAGGCTGCAATTGGACCTAGACGGGTTACAGGGGTGGGCGGATGAGAGCAGGATGGGTTTCAACACTGACAAGTGCAAGGTGCTGCACCTGGGGAGGAAGAACCAGCAGCAGACCTACAGGCTGGGGAACTCCCTTCTCATCAGTGCAGAGGCAGAAAAGTATCTTGGGGTCATTACTGATGCCAAAATGAACATGGGCCGACAGTGTGGGGTATGTGGTCAGGAAGGTCAACCACACCACACCATCCACAGATGCTTCTTGAGCAGGTCCAAGGAGGTGATCCTCCCCCTCTATGCGGCACTGGTCAGGCTGCAGCTGGAGTACTGCGTCCAGTTCTGGGCGCTGCACGTCAGGAGGGATGTGGACAGCATGGAGAGGGTCCAGAGGAGGCCACCCGCATGGTCAGGGGGCAGCAGGGCAGGTCCTACGAGGAGAGGCTACGGGACCTGAACCTGTTCAGCCTCCACAAGAGAAGGCTGAGGGGGGATCTAGTGGTTTGTTACAAACTAGTCAGAGGGGACCAGCAGGCATTGGGGGAGTCCTTGTTCCCCCGAGCACTCCCAGGAGTCACTAGAAATAGCGGTCACAAGCTGGCAGAGGGTAGATTCAGACTAGACAGCAAGAGGCGCTGCTTCACAGTCAGGGCTGCTAGGATCTGGAACCAACTTCACAGGGAAGTGGTGCTGGCTCCTACCCTGGCAGTCTTTAAGAGGAGGCTAGACGAACACCTTGCTGGGGTTGTTTGACCCCAGTACTTTTTCCTGCCATGGCAGGGGATCGGACGTGACGATCTGCTCAGGTCCCTTCCGACCCGACCAACTATGAACCTATCTGTCACAATCCCTGCCGTTCTCCAGACAGCCACAGTCTTCCAGGAAAATCTGCGTGGTTGAGACCTGACTTTCCAATGAGGAGGAAATGCTTTTGAAGCCATCCTTTGAAAGAAGCAAATAGACCAATCCAGTTACATTTCCCTTTGCAGGTTACCTTTTGTAAGAACACTTCTTCCGAGAAAACGTATGGGCTCTGGTGGCCGGGGGGCATGCTCGGAAGAGGGATTATTTAAAAGCCTTGTACACCAAGGACCAGGAGATCAACTCTCATTTGGATATCTGGGCAAAGCAATTGCCCTTCCAGCAGTATTCAGTACCCAGTAGCTTTCATTGCAAAATGTGGCACCTACATGGGAGCTGTCAGGTGCTCAGCTTTTTTGAAGACTCGGCCCTTGGTGTGTTTTATGTTGAGGAGATGGAAAGGATGCTCATGGAAGGTCCCCGATGGGGATGCCTCTCCCTACCCCAGCTGTTTACTCTCCCATGGTTGGTTTCCAAAGACAATGATGCTGAACCAGAATCTTTCTCTAGCACTTAAATTGTTTTAACCCATATCTTGTCAACATCCTTTTTTTTTTTTTTTTTTCTTTTTAATTTGTACTTTTCCTCATTTATTTTAAAAGCCTTTGTTTTCTTCTAAAGCATCTGTCTTGGAGACTATCGTCTTCAAAAAGTTTTTCGCTGGAAATTAAGAAAAAGAAAAAAAAAAAAAATGTTTTTTGGCTTCCCCCCGAGTTCTGTTCCTTTTGAGTGAATTAACTCAACTTAGAACTGGTTAGAAACTTTTACTGTGAATCCAACTTTTTATCAATCCAGGAGAAACGCTCTTCTCCACTTTACAATTGATGAAGACTGCCAAAGCTGGTTTGACATCAAGTCACATTAACGCACTGCTGGTTTGTACAATGGAAGCCTCGAGCCAGGGGCTGGTTTAAAAAAAAAAACACAAAAAAACAAAAAATAAAAACAAAAAATATTAAAAAAACAAGCACTTTACTGTATGTACCAGGTGACCTGATACAGCTCAATCGAAGTTTTCCTTTATAACAATTGTTGATGCCAGAATTTTGTATTCTGTTTTGTAAGAATTTAATAAATGCGTTGAAACCTTCCAGAGCGCTCTGTTGTCGGGCTGGCTTTTTTGATGCGTGGTTTGTGCTACTCGAGCGCCTTAAATGCCTCCGCACCGTCTAGGACTCCGCTGTGCCAGGCACCGTACGATCAGAGCAAGTCCCTCCTCCAAGGAGCTTGCCGCACAACCTTATTTCTCACTGTTAAAAAAATATACCTAGAAAAATGTGCTGGCGGAAAGGATATTCACAGCTGTCTCTCTATAGTTCAGCATCTAAATCCATGTGCAGGAGGAGGGCTCAGTGGTGCGATGGCCTGTGGTTGGCCGCACAGGGACCCGTTGAACTAAAAGCACAAGTCTGTACAGCTCAAATTAACCGAGTTTTGTGCCAGGGGCTGCAACAGAGTCTCGTCCACCCTGGGGGGTGCGCTTCTGCTGGCTGAGCGCTGGTCTCATCCCACTTGTATATCCTGAATCTGAATATCAAAGACAAATGTCCCAGTTTCTTTCTTCCCCTGCTCCTGCACTCATTTTTGAAGTCTGTGGGAGTTGTAGCTGCTTGGGTCTTTCTGAAAATCCATTTTCCTAAGCAATCGATTGAGCTCTTTGCCTGCCTGGTGGGAGACTCCTTTTAGAGGTCCTGATTTTTCTTTCAGTGAGTGGCTGTGCAGCATTTGTGTAAACCCGATCCCTTTGTAGGTTCAATTATGGGTATCTCTTGTCTGTGAGTGACAGCGCATAAATAAGAATGGGCCTAAATATGGATCTTGGGTGGCAGCCTAATTTAGATGCCCAGGTTTGCTGCCTAAATCATTCATCCTCTCGCCTAAACCACACTTTTATAACTATTGGCCTTTGGATATGTGGCATTCTGAAGACTGTCTCTTCCAGCACCTACTGGCATATAACGCTTGCCTACCGCTTCCCCTTCCCACCAGTCAGCCTCATTTTTATTAACTAGTTATCAGAGCATGCCTTCCATCAGGCCTGCTAACTGACCTTGCATTTAAACTGGTTCAGAAAGAAGTTGATTAACAGTCCTGCTTCTGCATTCACACGGTCAGGTCTTCCAGTCTTTATCCTTGAGCCGGGGAGAGGTGGGTATGTTGTACAAGCCCCCTGGTTGCTCCAGGCACTAGTATCCCTTCCAACTTGTCCAGCCAAAAAGCTGGGACAAAACAGACTCCAAAGCAAGGCATAGTAACAATTCATGCAGGAAACTTGCATTGTACTGGGCTTTCTCCCTCAGTGCTAATAACTCCTGTTGCCTCTAATCCATGTTCTTGATTTCTGATGACCATGTTCAGTAGCCAAAGTGAGGATGCTATGGAAAGGTGCCAACGGGGGCTACAAGGGATGATGATCTTCCACCTGAAGGATGTCTGAGAGGTGGGAGTGAGTCTTCTTGCTAGACGGTGCCCCCTGCCGGCTTTTTTTTGCAGCACTCAGGGATGCCATCATATGAGAGCATGATTTCTACATTTCCCTGGGACTCTGAATTTTAATTAATCCCCACAGCCCTCCCAGGAGTGATACATTATCAATTTGCAGCAGCTCAGGCTTGAAGAGGAGAAGTTAAGTTGCCTACTCTCTGAGCAACAAGTCGGTAACAAAGCTGAGCTCGCATCTTGAGCATTGCTAAAGACTGCTCGGTTCAGTATCTGATGCGGTAGCAGGGATGCAGAAGTAACTAGTTGGAAGCATAGGGGAGTTCCTGGCTCCTTTCCTCCCTTCCTTGCCCCCCAAAGTTTTTCACACATGTAGAAACTAGGTATGGACCCAAGCGGTGCCCATATCTAACAGTGAGTGGAACCGGTTAATCGTGCATCCTGATCCTTCTTCCTGTCGGCTCTTCCCTAGCATCTCTGCAAGACTGAGGACCTAGCTACAAGTTGAGTGCGTCTGCTTTCCGTGTGCTGCCTTTCCGCCTGTATGCAATTGTTTTTTCTCTCTCAAGTTTTTGGGAGCAGGGACCATCTCTCTTGTTCTGTTTGCCCAGGCTCTATAGGCCACCAGCCAGGACTTCACACCGTGGCGTGGCTGCGGCGTGCAGGGCAGTTAGCCAGGCTGCTGTCCTGAAGACCTGGCTAATTTCTATGTGAACGACACCACCGGTTTTGAGAATGAGGATGTGACCTCTGTTCGGTGCTGTTCCCAGGCTCATCTGCACTCCTCTCTTTCCAGTACACAGCATCCCCATCACAGCCAGGGGGGCCATCCGTTCAAGAAACAAGCAAGTTCAGAAAAACAAAGGCCAGCCTGAGGCTTGCCAGAAGCACCCGGCAAGCTGATTTCTTGATGTCTCCTGTCACAAGCGCCAGACTAGGATGAAAGCAAGGGGTTGTGTTCAATAAAGCTTCCCTCCCTAAAGTCACCTTGTTCTCCTCCTGAAGTGGATGCTTGTGGACGTCACTCAGTGGTCCAAGATCCTGGAAGTCTTCAAGGTATCCATCTGATACAGGTAAGCTTCCCTATCATGTCCTACCAATGGTTGCTCCTGATTCAGAGATGCAGCTGAGCGGGGAAGTGTCTGTGGCCTGTTCACTCCTTGGTCTCTCCTAAGCATTACTGCTTCAGGTAAAACCAACAGCCCGTTGTGCTCAGTGTCCCATCTCTGATACTGGCCTGTACCAGCTGCTTTAGATGAAAGGGCAAGAAATCCTTGAGTAGGATACTTCAGCTAAAACTTAGCCCATGGGAATTTATTTCCTCATCCCATATACTTTTTAAAACCCCTACTAAGCTGTTGGTCTCGATGTCTTGCGGCACTGAAATCCACTGGTTACTTTAGCACGTTGAATCAATTAAGTCGCTGTCATCTCTGTGCCTCCCATGCTGTAAAAGGGGAACAATGATATTATTGCCCTCTTTTGTCAAGGATGTTTGAGCTCTACAGATGAGGGTGCTAGGTAAGAACTCAGGTACTAGTATTACGATAGCAAATATTTCCTATCAGCAGGAAATGACTGGAAAATATTTGCTGCAGTAGTCGATAAAAGCTGCCCTCCCTGTTTTGGAGACAGGCAAACCAATTGAGTCATGCCGATCCAGTCGAGAATATAACCCAAGTGAAACTCTCTTTTTAAGCTGTTTGGCAGGCTGCAGAGCTGGGCCGTGACAAAAGCCAGTGCGGCATCAAAGCTACCTGGATACATAAGGACATGAGCTCTCGCACCCAGCACCGTACCTAGACTCCTGGTGGCCCTGGGTGAATTTTTAGTATCAGGCCCCCCTTTTGCCAGAGATAATGATAATTGGACAAAAAAATTACCATTTTGGGGCCCTCTTTCTGTCCAGGTCCTGGGCAGCCGCCCAGTTCACCCATGCCTGTGTCCGATCCTGCTCACACCTCTTCTTGCCGCTGTTTCTGCATTGCACTTGCCAAAGCTCCTTATCCCCTGCATTCCTTATAGTAACACCACTTCCAGACCCCTCGTTGGCTTGTCATAAACCCAGATGTCCCTTTTAGTCTAAAAGTTCACGTCCTGGAGAAACCCTTCCTCTCTGGGCCCCCTCATAATCATTTCACACTTTCCAGTCCATAACTATTGCCCATTTTCCATCTATATTTATCCCAGTCAGGTCGTGCCCTTGTTGAAGTCACCGGGAGATTTGTCATTGACTTCAGTAGCAGTGGGATCCAAGCTAAAACTGTAGGACGTCTTTCTTTCTTTCTTGTTTTTCTGCTTTCTCTCCCCCAAAGCTTCCCATCTCCACAGGGGCTGAGAACTTGGGAACCAACTCAAAGCACAGAAGACCAGGACGGTCCCGAAAATAGCACAATGCTAAATTGAAATCCTCTGCAAAACTCAGCAGCTATAGCATCACCTTAAAATAGGCTCCCTCTCTGGGAAAAAAGCTATAAATATGTGTACAGTAGTTTGCATAATAGAAACCTTCTCCTGCAGGAATGGGAGAGCTCCGGCTCATGTAAAACCTGATCCCTTTTCATACTTATCTTGAGGGTGCATGATGCAGCTAACTGGCCTATTTATAATGATAGCACTAAAGAATGTAATTGGAGCATGGGTCATTTTAAGGGCATGTTGTATACAGTTACTAGATTAGTTGACCATCACAGGTGACAATGGAACATATAACTTGTCCCCATCAGGTTTTATCACATTAATGAGATTAAAATTCTGCTGTGCACATGAGTAGAGTCAGAGCTTGAACTGAGAAGAGGTTATGGTTGCCCTGGTTAAAGTGAGTAAAGCATCATGTCAAGGATAAGACAGCCTTCGAGAAGGCCGACCCACTCTTGCGTCTGCTCACCACAGCCTAAGCTGGTTAACTTTAGGTGAGTTTTTTCAATGGGAGTATGGCTGTATGAAGACAGGGGTTTTTTGGTGCACTGGACATGGCAAAAAAATTAAAATAATTTCTGATACTTGTCTTGTCTACATTTTCCAGCAAACAGAAAACCCCAAGGTGTGTTGTTTTTATTTCCGAGCTTTTTTTTTTTTTTTTTTTACATTTTAAATTAAAAAAAGAAGAAAATCACAGGTGAATTGTGAAAAGAAACATTGTTTGAAAAACCAAAAAAAAAAAAAAAAAAAAAAAAAAAGGTAACGAGTAGGATTTTTTTTATTCTTTTCCTACCTGAAGCAATTTGTGAATTGTGAAAAAAAACATTGTTTGAAAAACCAAAAAAAAAAAAAAAAGGTAACGAGTAGGATTTTTTTTATTCTTTTCCTACCTGAAGCAATTTATTGAGATGAACATGAGTTTGAGATTGTAAAATGTTTTACTCAGCCTGAATAAGTGATGTTTTTTGGTGAAAAGGTTAAGCCAAAAATGATGGGAGACCTCCAAGAGATCAGAAGACTGGGGCCCATGCTACCATATGTCCGGGCATTAGCTCCACCGACAGGGTCAGCAGCTCTTGATGATTGTGACTGGATCCCAATGAACACTAGACAGTCCCCACTCTTACAAGCTCACTTGACAAGAACAGATACAAAGGGTGGGGTTTTGAAATATTGCTGAAGGACTTGTTTAAATCAAACCGAGATTGATGTCTACACTGTTTAGTTGCTCTGGAAAATTGTGGTCGGAGTAGGTAGGAAGCACTAGGGACTCCAAGGAGGAAAAAGAGTAAGAGGTTTATTTATTACTACTACTACTATTATTATTCAGCTAAATATTGTGATTAGTTTGGTTTTTTTAACTGGATATGTTGGTCTTTCCTTTCTGTTGGGCTAGTGGTACAGAGTGGCCTCTGTGTTTCCACCCCAGAGGTGGCTGCACTGCAGGGGTGGGGAAATAAAACTGCTATCTCATGGCTACGGACAGCATTGATTCAGCAGAGATCTCTGACAAGGAGGATTTGGGAGAATGAAGAAAAAAAAATTCATAGGAGGATGAATTGTGGCCCATTCAGCCTGTCCCAAAATGCTGTGCGTTATGGTACGTGTGCTATACTGCATGGTGGGCAAGTGCCACGGCTGCTGTCTTCCCCTGGATGGAATATCAGACCTGCTTATCTGGATTATCCCTGGCTCAGGGGCTGGAAAGCTTTCTCCTCCTGCAATGATTTGTGTTTCAGTTTGGTGCAGCAAAGGAGGATCATGTTCCAAAGGTGTTAACATTAGAGAGTTGTTCGGCCGCCTGCATGCAACGAGTTAGCGGTGATGGAGTTCATGGAGTGACCTCCCTGCCCTCCTTGATCCATCGCTGTCAGCAGACAGGAGGCTCCACGTGACATGGGATGGAGAGTTGGGATCAGGAGAGTCTCTGGTGCTCGGGGAAGGGCGGTAGAGTCTGGCAGTTAGTGAAGGGCGCTGGGGAGAGGCTCCTGCAGCAGAGCAGTCCTGACGGCCCACCGGGAACCAGGCAGGTAGCCGGGGAGAGAAGCAGCATAGGCAGGCAAAGAGACAAATATGAGAAAAGGACAGAATCAGGGGCTAGCAAGGAAAATAAAAGGGAGTGTACAAAAGAAGCAAGAGACAAGTGAAAGGAAAAAGAAGCAGAGTGAACGGCATCCAAAAGGAGGAACAAGTCTCTGGGGTCTCTCTCCCACTTGGTTGAATTGGAAAGGATGGAGCCTTTCCATAACAGCCTGCCTGGCTGTTTGCTTATCTGATCCTAATTTCTGCTCTCCAATGAGTACATTCTTAAGTCAAGACTTTCGTTTAGAGAATGAGGATCTGAGGAAGGAGCTAGCTATTCTGGATGCCGGCCTGAGTTATTTTGGTAACGTCGTATGGGGATTTGAAGTGGCAACCCTGACTAGCAAAAATCGGGTCGTTCTCCATCTTCCTCAATGTTTCCTTCTCTTTCTCAGCAGAGATGTCCCCATCACAAAATAAACACCGTCACAACTGGCACTAGCCACTGCTGCACTGACGATGGGCTTCAGAGCCTCAATCCTTCTCCCACCTCAAGAGGAGGTTTCCTCCAAGTCCGAGGCCAGACATGGCGGCAGCTTTTCCCTGATGCTTCCTAAGCTAATCAAATAACTTGAGACACCAGAGCCATTGATTGCACTTGGTATTACCCAGAAGTCAGACAATTTACTGTTGGGAGCAGTTCCTCTCTCTGGTCTTTCTGAGCTTGAGTCCAGTGTCTCCTCTAACATTGTGGAGGATTATCCAGCTTGATGTCTCTCTCCTCCCTATTACTTTGATATTACATGCCTGATTCAGCGTTGGGTTGCTTTCCTACACTTGCTGGGCACGTCTACACGAGATGCTACGTCGCTGGGTAAAAACCGTGATGCCACAGCTATGTCGCTGTAGCAACATGCTCCTCCAGTATAGTGCATTGCTACGGCGATGTAGTGGCTAAAAACAACAGTGCGCTGCACAGACAGTGCAGTCCAGGCTGTTAGTGCGCCGTCATATAGCATTTCCAAAAGGAAGTATGAAATGACAGTGTAGTAACAACGGCACGGCAGGAGCACATGTAGATGCGCCTACTGTGTCTTGCATCTGTAGTGGCTGAAAAGATGGACAGCGAGAGCAGGGTTGGGCTTGGGCCAATGTAGCTAACACAACGTGGCGCATTGTTCTCCTGCAGTGACTGGTAAAGGTCTATGAGCCGTTGTTCAAATGCATATCCTTTGGCTGAAGTAGTAAACCCACAGGTCATGGGTTCAAATCATTAAAGATAGCTTCCGTGGTATTTCATTTCATACTAAAAACAGTAGTTAGCATGCAGATAATGAGCTCATTAAAAACAGCCTAGATTGGGGGGTTGCTGTGGGTTTTCTCAAGAGTCCTGGAAGGTAATTCCACCAGTTTCTTTTTGGGGTCTCCACATCTGAATATAATCTCGATGACACAGAGTGCAATAGCTGATTTTGTCTGCCCTATACTTCTGATCAACTTGGTGGGAATGTGCATGTGTCCTTCCTGGCATGTGTCACTCACTGAAAAGTCTCTGTGACTCGAGCTGATTGTGTATCACATGAGTCATTTTGGACATGCCTGCTGCTTCCACCATGCGCTACATGTCTGGCGGCTTACGTGTGTCACTTGTTTGAATGTTTAAGAAATCATCTGTTCCTTTGACATTAGTGAGACATCCTGCTTTTCACTGAATAGAAACATATTTTTCTAATTGGTTACGTACATTTATTTTTAGCTGTTTTGTTCCATAATGGATGTATGTGATTCTAGATATTTGTAGACATGAGTAGTGTACAATAGTCACCACTGCCAACTCAGCAGACACCACACCAGGCAGTACTGTCATGACTATACTTGGGAGCTACCTTTTTATACCACAATTACTGGGAAGGAACAACTACTGAGTTCTTTTATGGTACCTTCTGTAGTATCTCTTCTCATTCATCTCTCTTCAGAGAACTCATTGATCTGCCTCAATATATCCCACGTGGACAAGCACTGTATGAAGTTGTCTGATTACTCAAGTAATGTGTTGTGCTTTGCTTCTGTTTAACTTCACATGTAACACATGCAAACGTGCCTTTAGTTCTTGGCTGATCTATTAAGAGAGGCAGCACTCTTCAATGGGCTACTGTTAGGCCACACATTGTAGCAGCTGCACCTGTGTGACTCTGAAATAATTAGACTAGAAGTACTGTACATTTAATTTACTCTGATTTTATCATTTGTTTTGTTGGAGTCAGGAAGGATCCTGGGTGCCCCGGAAGCAGAACAACCATCATGAAAGTGGACACAAGACTCCTAAAGACTTCTAACTCTCTTCCTAGATTTACCAGATCTTGCTGTGTAGGGTTGGAATTGTACTTGGGTTAGTCTCGCTCTGCCTTTTCCCCCACCGCCAATGGAGATAACACCACTTACCTAACAATCCAGAGAGGAGGAGGGATATTGTGTTGATAATGTCTGTTAAGCGTTTCTGAGATCCTCAAATGAAAGGTGTTTGAAAAGGCAAAGAATAAAGGTAAACAACGTTCTTTGGGTAAATCTGATATCTTTTATTAGATCAACTAAAATAGCTGGAAAAGTTCTTCTTTGCAAGCTTTCGGGTACAACCATCCTTCTTCAGGCCTGAAGAAGTTCCTATAGGAATAGTTGGAAAAGTTATTCTTTGCAAGCTTTCAGGTACAACCATCCTTCTTCAGGCCTGAAGAAGGATGGTTGTACCTGAAAGCTTGCAAAGAATAACTTTTCCAACTATTTTTGTTGATCTAATAAAAGATATCAGATTTACCCAAAGAACTTTATCGGCCTATGTCCTTAGACCAACAGGGCTACAACAAACGCCCCTGAAAGAATTATGGTAGTATGGATTATTGCCCATCCAAAAAAAGAACTAAAAAGATCTTGTTAACATGGTTTCCAACATGGAGACATCCTTGTGGTGTTATTCTTTACCCTTGAAAGAGGCAGGGGAAGTGGGCAGTGGCACAGCCAGCTTCCTCGCAGAGAATTACTGGGGTAATTCCTAACGAGATCAAGGAGAAAAAGGTTGGCAGTATCATAAAATATAGGAATCTAAAGCTAGGACTGAAAGGGAGCTCTGAGTGCAGTCCTGTGTTATTGCCAACAGCCATGCTATATCATACTTCCAGAAATGCATCTAGGCTCATCTTAACAGCTGGTAGGTTTTTGTTCTCACTACTCCTTTTGAAAGACTGTTCCAGAACCTCATTTCTCTGATGGGTTAGAAACCTCCTTCTGATTTCCATCCATATTCCTGGCCAGTTTATATTCATTTGTCCTTGTGCCAACATTGCTTTTAGCTAAAATAGTTCCTTTTCCTCTCTGGTGATTATCTTTCTGACGTATTTATAGGCAGGAATCGAACCCCCTCTCAGCTAGAATGAACATGCCATGTCCTTTGAGTCTCCTTTCACCTGATCATCCTAGCACTGCTGTGCACATGTTCCCATTCCAATTAATCTTTTTTTTTTTCTAACATTGGTGGCCAGAACTTTATACAGTGTTCCTAATGAAGTCTCACTTAGGCTTGTACAATGGCATCAAACCTGCCGTATTTCTACTGATCCATCTTAGGAAATCACATCTGTCTTTTTCATTCTCATTGCACTGGTAGCTTATAGTCATTTCAATGACTGACGAGTTCATCCAGGTCTTTCTGCCCCCACAACCAATTTTAACTCATGAGCTCCTAGCTGACATCAAAATCATACTAGCTACTAAATGAATGACCTTGCAGTTTACACTGTTGAAGTTGATCACTTTTCTGTTCCTCCAACTCTCCCTCTCTGATATTGTGATCCCCCTTAGCGCTTCTATCTCCAACTTTTGAGTTATCAAGACATTTCATTAGAACACTTCTACTTTTTGTGCTCAGATCATTAATGGAAAGCTGTAATCAGAGCAATCCCAAGACTAGTCCTTGAAAACTCTCTGGGTAATATCTTTTCAGCCCAGTGGTTGGTTCCCTTTCAACACCGCACATCATTATCACCCCCTTCGGCAGTTCCTGGCTACTTGTTACAATTTTTGTACTAATCCCCACCTTCCGCATTTTAAGTAACCCCCATTTTCTGCATCTTTTGGCACCATATAAAGTGCTAAATTGAAGTCCAGATATATGAAATCTTCTGCATTTCTTTCCCTAGAAAATCTCTTATCAACAAAATATATCAGGTCAGTCTGGCATAATCTACCCTTGGTAAATCTAAATGATATTTTGTCCCATTTTCTCTTTACCACTATGCCTTTAATTATTCTTTCCTTCAAAAAAGGTCTACTTCTTACATATTATGGTGGTCACACACACAGGCTTTGGAGCTGCCTGGATCACTTTTGCCCTTCTTAAATATACCATACATGCATCTGCTATTCTATAGCTACATGGTACTACTCCCAATGTGATCAATCTATTACAAATCCTAGCTGCCTGAACTAGGATTTCATGTACCAGTTCCTTCAGAAGTCTGGGGTGGAAATTATCTAGTCCCCCCGACCTCAGTACATTATACTCTGAGTTTTGCTTCCACTCCAGGTACGGTAATTCCTAAATCCCTGCTCTCATTCCCATTGGCCATCCAATCTTTGTTCCTATGTTCACTATTGTTCTTTACTGAAAACTGAGCCCTAATGGAGCCTTACCACAATACAAATTAAGATTAATGAGTTTTGTTTAATCATACTGTGAAGGGATGTGATCAGTTTAATCTTATGTAAAATAGAGAAAATTATATTTAATACAATGTTTTGCAGATTCACAGACGTTTAGGGCTGGAAGGGACCTCGTGAGATCATTGGGTCCAACCCCCTTGCTTTGGGCAGGAAAGACTACTGGGGTCAAATAACCCCAGCGAGGTGTGCATCCAGGGTAGATGCCTGCACCACCCCCTGCTGGGAGTCTATTCCAGAGTCTGGTCACACAAACTGTGAAGAAGTTTTTTCCTTATATCCAATCTGAAACCTTCTTCTAGGAGTTTATGACGGTTGCTCCTGGTTTTCCCCTGGAGCGCTTTGATGAATAGTTGTTCGCCTAGTTCCTGATGCTCTCCCCTGATCTATTTGGAAGCTGCCACCAAATCCCCCCAAAGTCTTCCCTTTTCTTGGCTGAACAGTTCCATATCTGTCAGCCTTTCCTCATATGGCTTGCTCTTCAGGCCTCTAATCATACGAGCGGCTCTTCTCTGGACTGTCTTAAGCTTCTCCACATCCTTCTTGAAGCGTAGTGCCCAGAACTGGACACACTACTCCAGTTGCGGTCTCATCAATGCCGAGTAGAGCAGGAGAATAACTTCCTTAGTTATGCTTGAGATACATCGGTCGATGCATGCCAGCGTATTGTTTGCTCCGCTAACTGTAGCATCACACTGGTGGCTCATATTCATTTTATGGTCAATTATGACCCCCAGGTCCCTTTCAGATGTGGTGCTAGCTAGTGTAGCACCACCGAGCCTTACTAAATTCACTTGATCCTGCAATGCCAAAAAGGAAGTCAAAGGGAGTATTGCCTGAGTAAGGGACTGCAGGATAGACTCCAACAGAGGGGGAGGGATCATCTTTGATCTGATGCGTGGCAGATACCCTCAATAAAAATCTCTTCTCCTTCCTGCAGGTAACTAGAGGTAAGGGTGAGCCACCTCTGTGACACCATCTTCTTTTGAGGATTATCCCTTGAAAGAGTCGGGGAGCTGCAAGTGGATGTGGGAACAATGCACGTTAGCTTCCCAAACAACTCCTGGGAAATCAACACAAAAAGTAAGAGCCAGACTCTTGAAAGGCGGCAGAACTCCACTGATCCTAGTTAGCGTCTCTACTAGTTCCCCTTTCAAGGCCTTGTTATGGCTTACGCTTGAATTCATGTGATAGTCTTTAGCTCCCCCTAACGTTTGTCTAACAGAGCACAGAGATACCTCTCCGCAAAAGAGTCCTGCCCAGAAGAGCCCATTTCTCCACCCTTCTGTGAAATATGAAACATCATAACCAGAAGGAAATATGATTCTACATCCCGCTTACCGCCAGGCAACTGCAAGGTAAAAAGACGTTTCCAACTTTTCTTTGAGCCTAATCTGCACAAAATGAACTGTCCCAAACAGGAGACTTTACCACCCCTTCCGCTCTCCTGGGAAATATGAATTTTTCATTTCTACCTAGGAGAACTTTTATAGTCTTTGCAATCTCCTACGCCTGATGAAGGGTGCCCGTGCCCGAAAGCTTGCAAATAAGGAATTTTTTTTGCAAATATCTAGCTGGTCTAATGAAAGAGATCACCTCTGCCACAAGTTTTGAGTCCTTTTGCCTCTAGACCAATACGGCTACAACCTGGATACCTGCCGCGTGGCAGATCTTCTGCATGGAGCATTCAGAGCGATAATGCCGCTGCTTTATAAATTGCTAGCTGCATCATGCAGAATTGAGATTTATTTTTGTGGCAAACGGTACATAAAAGCAACACATCCAGCCATGTGTCTTGGGCAAACAGTAAAGAAAGAAAGCGTGCAAGGGTTTAAAGCAGGGGTGGGCAAAATGCGGCCCGTGGGCTGGATGTGGCCCGCCAGGCCCCAAAATTTAGAAAATTAATATTTATCTGCCCGACTCCCTGTCATGCGGGTCTCAGCTTGCCAAAACTCAGTAAGCGGCCCTCCACCCGAAATAATTGCCCACCCCTGGTTTAAAGCATATTTCAGTTCTTAGTTCTACCAGTTGATTATTAGTAGAAGAAAGATTATGTTTTAAATAAAAACAATACCCCTTTAAAACAAGGCTGCTTTTAAGTCACGCTCATAGATTATTCATAGATTCATAGAAGTCGGGTCGGAAGGGACCTTGTAGATCTTCTAGTCCGACCCCCTGCCCTGGGCAGGAGAGAGAACTGGGCTCAAATGACCCCAGCCAGGTAAACGGCAAGCCTTCTCTTAAAGACGCTCAAGGTAGGAGCCAGCACCACTTCCCTTGGAAGCTGGTTCCAGATCCTAGCCATCCTGACTGTGACATAGTGCCTCCTGATGTCTAGTCTGAACCTACTCTCCAGCAATTTATGGCCGTTCTTCCTTGTTATCCAGGAGGCGTTTGGGGGAGCAGGGACTCTCCTGTTTCCCACAGGACCCCCCTAGTAAGTTTATAGATGGCCACCAGGCCCCCCCTCCAGCTTCTCTTGCGAAGGCTGAACAGGTTAAGGTCCCGTAGCCTCTCCTCGTAGGGTCTGCCGTGCTGTCCCCGGATCATGCAAGTGGCCCTCCTTTGGACCCTCTCCATGCTGTCCACATCCCTCCTGAAGTGCGGCGCCCAGAACTGGACGCAGTACTCCAGCTGCGGCCTGACCAGTGTCGCATAGAGGGGAAGGATCACTTCCTTGGCCCTGCTCGTGATGCATCTGTGGATGCATGACAAGGTACAGTTAGCCCTACTGACTGTGTCCTTGCATTGTCGGCCCATGTTCATTTTGGAGTCAATAATGACTCCAAGATCTCCTTCTGCCACGGTGCTTTCGAGAAGGGAGTTCCCCAGCCTATAGGTATGCTGCTGGTTCCTACTGCCAAGTGCAGCACCCTTCCCTTGCCAGTATTGAATTCCATCCTATTTTCATTTGCCCACGCCTGTAACCTGTCCAGGTCCCGCTGTAATCTGTCCTTCCCTTCTAGCGTGCCCACCTCACCCCAAATCTTGGTGTTGTCTGTGAATTTAAACAGGCTGCTCTTCACCCTGTTGTCCAAGTCCTGAATAAAGAAATTGAACAGTGTAGGCCCAAGGACCGAGCCCTCGGGGACCCCACCGCCCACTTCCCTCCAGGTCGAATATGACCCGTCCACCACTACTCTCTGAGTATGACCCCTCAGCCAATTTGCAATCCATCTGACTGTGTAGGCATCGATGCCACAGTCGCCTAGCTTTTTAATGAGAATGGGGTGGGAGACCGTGTCAAAGGCCTTGCTGAAGTCCAGAAAGACTACATCCACCGCGACACCTGCATCCAGTGATTTTGTGACCTGATCGTAGAAGGCAATCAGGTTGGTCTGACAGGACCTGCCCCTAATGAAAGCATGCTGGTTGCCCTTGAGCATCATCCCTGCTGCTGGCCCATCACAGATGCGCTCCTTGATAATCTTCTCAAAGAGCTTCCCCAGGATCGAAGTAAGACTAACGGGCCTGTAGTTGCCTGGGTCCTCCCTCTTCCCTTTTTTAAAGATGGGAACCACATTGGCCCTCTTCCAGTTGTCTGGCACCTGGCCAGAGCACCACAAGTGCTCGTAAAGCTGTGCCAGGGGCCCCGCGATAACCCCTGCCAATTCCCTCGACACCCTGGGGTGGAGAGCATCAGGACCTGCCAATTTGAACACGTCCAGTCCTTCCAGAAGTTCCCTAACTCGGTCCTCCCTGACCCTAGGCTTCGTGGAGTTTCTCCTGAGTCCGTCCTGAATCTCGGTAGGGGAGTCCCGGTCCCTGCACAAGGAAATAGAGGCCAAGGGATCATTTGCTGTGAAGTACAGTACAACCCAGACTACTGGGATACAGAGATGTGGGAAAAATCCCACTACCTCCTTTGGCTGTGTTCGGCATAGGGCCTGGTGTGGTGGGTGTGGGTCTGAGAATGCCTAGCAGATTGGGTCCGTACACAGGATAGCCAGGGGATGAAGCGTGAGCAGAAGACCTAGCTGATCAGCATTTAGGCCATTCTGAACATGCCCAGAAACAGACATGTAAGTACTTCGGGAACTTCATAGGTGGAAATTTAGGGCTTGTCTTCACTATTGTGGAAGTGGGTCCTGGTACCACAGGGCTTGAGCACCTTAGTCTGTGGGTGTGATCCAAGTCAGAAATACATCACCAAGGCTGCCTTGGACTTGTCCCTCTGAGACTTTTGTGTCTGATAGCAGGGGGGATGCGCTTGGAGCCTCACTAGCGAACTTCTGGATTTGAAGCGTGCCTGCAGACTTGGCTGGACAGGGCATGCTCACACCCTGCGGGGCCCACACCTGCTGCTGCTCTGTTGTAGGCAAACCCTTAGATTCATAGATTCATAGATTCACAGATGCTAGGGTCGGAAGGGACCTCAATAGATCATCGAGTCCGACCCCCTGCATAGGCAGGAAAG